AATTTAAACTATAAACCATCTTCCCCAAAAAAGTAGCTGAAATAAGGTAGTTGGATTTAGCAAAAGAACCACTTATTGATGCCAAATAAAAATGAAGTTCCCACTTTTTGATCAGTCTTCTTAAAAAGTTATAGTAGTCAGCCAAAACAGAATTAAAACTGTTTTCTACATGTCCTAATAAGATATGATGAAAGCCAACATTAAAAGAAATCTGAAAAGCAAATTGTAAATTTTCAATGAATATTTCTTTATAGTTCATTTTTATCTATTTCACTCAATGTAAATATTATCTCAACATATAAATACTACAATATATATTTTTAAAGTAATTGACAGATTCCCAAAACCTTTTTAATGCTGAGTTTAATTAAAATTCAATTTGTTATAAAGACTCAGGTTATAGATAGAAAATATATTTTATTCACAATACCATAATGTCAATTATTGACCTATTAGTATTGTTCCTTTAAATAAAGCAGTATCAAAATGAACTAAATGACTATATTATTAAATACATCAAAGCATTTAAACTTATCTGAAACGAAGGTCAATATTAGAGAAGAATCCAGTTGTTTTGTGGCTAAATCTAGTTCTTAATGACAGTTCACTTCTCCATGGTAGACACAACAGAAAACAAAATAGCTAGCACTTTCTTGGAAAATTATCTTTTCAACATTTAGAAATAATTGTTCAAATATCCACTGAATCGTTAGTTTGGTTTTCTAAACAAACTAAAAGATTATATTCTAGAAGGAGTACAAATGGGTATGTTTATTGTCATTACTGAGATTCAGTTCTCCGCCGTATTTCCAATTTAAATCCTCGCCAGCTTTTGAAATTAATCAAAAACAAAAATAATGCGACTCTCCTTTAAGGTTCAATATAGGTCCCAATAAAAACGGATATTCCGTGTATTAAATCCCAATTAGAATTTCATGAAGCACTAACGAGAGAATGAAAGAAAGGTATTACACAATGTACTATGTCTTTCCAAGTACAGCTGATACCATGCCCTGAACATATGCCACGGGGGAAAAATTGTAAATAAAGACCTTCGGCGGTAGAGCGGAGTTTATTCAAGTTTTGTGAAGACAGTGCTCACGATCATCCAAAGTACAGCATTCACACAAAAGCAAAATGGAAACCAATCTCGGGGCGGCCGTAAATATTTATAGCCGTTGTGTTCCTTTTTAATAAATTCTATTGTTTGTCCCCCTTTCCAAATTAGGTCGTAGTTTTGCCCTCGAAGACAGATCATAAAGCAGAAAACTGACCCAAGAAAAGGTTCCGGAATTAAGACAAGTTAACAACGCGGGCACATTTCCGAGATGGTCTCGAGGTAAGCGAAATGCTTCCTCCACACTCCCCGTCTCAGTGTGTGTATCCGTGAAATGGGCGGACAGACGTGAAAGGTTTCAAAGCCCCAAAAGGTGCCGTGTTCATATAATATGCACACCAAGTTGGCGCGTGGGTATTTCTTCCTTTTTCTTTTTTTTCTAGGTGGTGGCGGTGGGTTGAGATGGGATGATGGGATGGGGTGGTGGTGATTGGGGGTGCGTCGGCATTTCAGACTCATGGCAATTCTGTCCATTTCAACAGACTCATTTGCTCCCCAAAACCTCCCCCCGAAACCTTTGAACTTCTTAGAGCACGAAAGGCACGAAAAGACCAAGCACGAGCCTTGGGATCTGACTGCGGATCGAGACCGCACAGCCCGACAGCCCAATGGTAACCTCCACCGGGAGAAGCCGGCCCCTACCGCGAGGCCCCGGTGCCCGAGCTCCTGGGCAAACCTCCGGGGAGTCGGGACCCTCACCTGGACTTGCGATCCCACTTTCCCCCCAAAGACCCCAGACTCGGAGCCGTGACCCCGGAGGGGGGAACAGCTCCCTCCACTCCCACATCAAGTCGACTCCCGGCGAGGAAGGGAGGGGGGAGGGAGGCCAGCCCGAGTGTCCCGACCCCCCGAGTGCCGGAAGAGTGGGTATTTCTGCCCTCAAAGGCTCAAACGCACTCACTCTCAAAGGCCTGGAGGAACAGCTCGTGGTCAGCCTGGACGTGCTCCATTTTCGGCTTCTTCACCGGTAACACGGCAGCCCCCGCCGCTGCTGCTGCTGCTGCCGCTGCCGCCGCCGCCGCCGCCGCCGCGGAGGAGGAGGAGGCCGAGTAACTGCCGCCGCCGCCTCCACAGCCCCCGCCGCCGCTGGATTTGCCGCCCGAAGCCGTCGCCGCCGCCGCCGCCACCGCCGCCGCCGAAGCCCCGAAGCCGCCTCCCCCGGACCCTGCGCTGGGCCCCGAGCCGCCCCCTCCCCCACCGCCGTGCTTCTGAGGCGCCATCGCGGTTCCTGCCTCCTCCCCCGCCAGCTACCCGCCGGGCGGCCCCGGAGAGTAAGCGCGCCGGCTTTACCCACCACTCGTCCCCGCGGGCTCCGGCGGACCGAGGGGGGAAGGAGGAGAGAGGGGAGGAGAGGGGAAGGGAAGGGAGGAGGAGAGGAGGGAAGGAGGGAGGAAAAAAAAAAGTGTCTCCTCCTGAGAGCCCCGCTCCGTTCCCGAAGCCGCTCACCCTAGCCCGGCCTGGCCCCGCCCACTTCCCCCCGCCCGGCGTCCTGATTGGCCGGCGGGAGCGCGCGCCGCCCGGCCGCCCATCCCGTTGGCCCGCGGATCCCCCCGTCAGTCACGCGGAGGCTCTTCTCGCGGAGGCGCGGCTTGGTTGGCCCGTGCGCGCTGCCGACCGCGGGGCCCGGCCGCCTCTTTGAACTGAATTCGCGGGAAAATTAGGGGTCGGAGCGGCCTTCCTGCTGGCCCCGGTGCATTGTGGGGAGCGAGAGAGACCCAGCGAGCGGCTTAGAGAGCGGCTTCGCCTTCGGAGCGTCGTCAGTCACCGTCCCCAGGAGGACAGGACCCCCTGACGGGAGGCCGGCCTCCGAGGCGCCGGGGGTGAGGGGTCTCTTACAGGAACCCAGATCCATGGCTGATCAGCGAGTCTCTAACTTCATAGGAAGGGACCTGCCAGGGAGTTGGGTCGCTTCTCCTTTGAGGGGTTTTCCCCAGGCAGGATCGAGTCCCCTGTCCCCTTGTCACCACGTGCCTCAAGCCACCCATGGCCGAACCCCACCCAGCAAAGCCCTTGAAGACTGGGAGCAGCCAAGGGGTTGTGGTGCGACTGGGCTCCACCAAAGGAATCGATTTTTTTAAAACATATTTTATTGATTTTATTTTTACAGAGAGGAAGGGAGAGGGATAGAAAGTTTGAAATATGGATCAGCTGCTTCCCGCACACCTCCTACTGGGGATTTGCCCGCAACCAAGGTACATGCCCTTGACTGGAATCGAACCGGGGACCCTTCAGTCCGCAGGCTGACGGCTCTATCCACTGGGCCAAACTAGTTAGGGCAAGGAAGCGATTTATATGTAACAGGAATGTCCCATAAACTATAAAGCGAGGAGAACAATTTTTTGTAGGTTCTATGGGGCTTCAGGATCTGTAATGAGAGAGGTTGTGGCTGCTCAAACCTCTGTTAAGTTGGAAGCAAAACCTGGGTATTTTATTCCCACCCACCCACCGCCAACGGCCACCCCAGACACCGCAGGGTGGGCAGAGGGAGAATTTCTTAGAAGTACGCACACCCTTCTTGAAAAACTTAACTTTGCGCCTCAAAAACTTGAGAGAAAATCCTTTGTTTTGCGGGTATTGCGCTTAAAAAGGTAGATGCATAGGCCCCATTCATTCTTCAGACACAGACGGGTTTGGAGTTGAGCTAAAACTCTTAAAAGATTTGAATTTTAGGTTGGGCAATGTGACCTCTAAGGGTGTTTTTCCAATTCAAACGCTGTGATCTAGTATTACATTACAGTGAAACATTACCTTCCAAATCCCCAATCTATAAACACACAACCATTTTGTACTTTTAAAAAACACTTTTTTCAAATGTTTGCTTTGGTCTTTATAGTCAGCTTCAAAACAGTACATACAAAGCAAGTATCTTTGGAATGGTTATTTAAATTGTTTGCAAAACTGGTGTCTTTGGAATGGCTACTTATCTAAATTACTGATTTTATCAAAGCATTTGCTATTTATAAGAGAGTGAGTTCTACAAATAAAACATTTAATATGAAATCTGGCATTTCAGGAACACGTCTGAAATTACGTAGACCTATTGCTGATTTTTCGTCAGACAAAAAGTTCAGAATACTATTTTGTTATATTATTTGTACATATCATCCGTGCTGGGTTTTGTTTGTTTGTTTGTTTTGTTTTTTTAGGTTTCCTTCCACAAAAGAGGATTTCTGTTTTCGATTTCTAGGGGGGAAGGAGGGAGAAGAAAGAAAAAAAAAAGCCCTCTCTGATTTAAAGCTACCCCCACAGAGGCTTGTGGGGTTTTAGATCGTGGTAATCTGCTGGTCTTTAGCTTTACTGCATTATAAAATGAAGTTCCATCCATTTAATCAGGGTCTGGGGCATTACATCACACTAAGCAGATCATCAACATTCCAAGTTATAAGCCAGAATGCTAATTTATTAATTAACAGCAAACATAACTGGCAAAACCACCAGTGTTCATCATCTGTACAGGATCCTCCGGTTTTGGAGGGGTGTGGGGGAACAGTTATAGTCAAAGGAAAAGACCGAGTGATAAGTTATCATAAATCTTTGATGGACAGAGAAATGGAGTGAAGGGAGCAGGGAGGGTCTTTAAGAACCCCATGATTGCCCTAACGAGTTAAACTCAGTGGATAGAGCGTCAGCCTGTGGACTGAAGGGTCTCAGGTTCCATTCTAGTCAAGAGCATGTAACCAATACCTTGGTTAGGGGCACATCTCCAGTAGGGTGTGTGCAGGAGACAGCTGATCAATGTTTCTCTCTCAATGATGTTTCTAACTCTCTGTCCCCCTCCCTTCCTCTCTGTAAAAACTCAATAATAATATATTATAATATATATATATATATATATATATATATATATATATATATATATATTTTTTTTTTTTTTTTTAAAGAACCCCATGGTCGCCTTCTAGGCTTCAGCATGGACAAGGTTTTAATGTCCAGTAGCCCCATGCTGGACATTATGAAAATCCCCAGGACTGGTCATGAGGAAGCCAACCATGCTATGGGAAAGGCATAGAAGCAAATTCTCACTTTTTTATTTTCTTTATTGATTAAGGTATTATAGATGTGTCCTAATTCTCACTTTTTATATTCTCCTTTGTCTAGACTGTATGTAGAGCACAGACAACAAGGAAAAACCCCTTATTCCTTTAGACAAATAATTGAGGAGTTGTCTTGGTTACATGATAGTCTTCTTAATCAGATTTTGTTCTATAAGTAAAACAATTACATCACCACAGAGTTGGTGACTTCTGTGGTTAGCTTATTTATTTTGTGTTGTTATTTCTAAGTGTGGCATGGCAACTCTTTTGAGCTTTGTGGCACCAACTCACAAGTGCCCCACCTCACACTGGATTTGAATTGTTTTCTAGGCTTTTTTGCTTGTCTTTACTTTTGCCATATCTAGAGTTGATAAACTCCTAAAAAGCAAAGGCAGTTGTCCATTTCTTTTCTATTTCCTAGCACAGGACTAGATATGTGTTCAAGGAGAGAGTAGCAATCATTTTAACCTTTACAGTTATAAATATGCTTTTTACATAATCATTGTCATAATGATCCTATGAAACGGGCATCATTTTCATTCACCGGGTGAGAAAGTAGTCCAGAGAGACTAAGTGACTTGCTCCTTTAATTGGCAGAGCTGTGACTTGAACCCAGGTTTTTTTTTTTTTTTTTTTTTTTTTTTTTAATATATTTTATTGATTTTGTACAGAGAGGAAGGGAGAGAGATAGAGAGCCAGAAACATCGATGAGAGAGAGTCATCGATCAGTTGCCTCTTGCACACCCCCTACTGGGGATATGCCCGCAACCAAGGCACATGCCCCCGACCGGAATCGAACCCGGGTCCCTTCAGTCCCCAAGCCGATGCTCTATCCATTGAGCTAAACCAGTCCCGGCTGAACCCAGGTTTTTAAACTCCAATTCCTAGGCACCTTTGCAATCAGAATAAAGTTATCCTTAGGACCTCAAGTTGACTGTTTTTAAGTTTGTTTTTTTTTAAAAAATGAGGACCACCTTGCTTCTCTTACAAAAAAAAAAAAAAAAAAGAATCAGCTCTGGCTGGTTTGGCTCAGTGGATAGAGCGTCTGCCTGCGGACTGAATGATCCCAGGTTTGATTCTGGTCAAGGGCACATGCTGGGTTGCAGTTCTATCCCCAGTAGGAGGCATGCAGGGGCAGCCGATCAACGATCTTCTCTCATCATTGATGTTTCTATCTCTCTCTCCCTCTCCCTTTCTCTTTGAAATCAATAAAAATATATTTTAAAAACAAGCAAAAATAATTTTGTAATCATCCCAAGTGTGCATTCTTTTATTAATGCCCCCACTTTGCCTTCCACAGGCTTCTGTGATGGGATTTTTAATGTTTCTTGTGTCATGGACCCCTTTGGCAATTTGATGAAGACTATGGACCCCTTTTCAAACATAGGCATAAATGCCGAGACCGGTTTGTCTCAATGGATAGAGTGTTGGCTTGGGGACTGAAAGGTCTCGGGTTCGATTCCGGCCAAGGCATGTACCTTGGTTGCGGTAGGGGATGTGCAGGAGGTAGCTGATCGATGATTCTCTCTCATTGATGTTTCTAACTCTCTATCCCTTTCTCTTGAGATTCTCTCTCATCGATGTTTCTAACTCTCTATCCCTCTCTCTTCCTCTCTGTAAAAAAATCAATAAAAAAAGACAAACATACGCATAAATGAAATTTATCAGATTATAAAGGAAGCCAATAATAATTAAATATAATTACCAAAATAGTAAAAAATAAAATTGTGATATATTGTAGTAATATAAGTGCATTTTTTTTCAATGTACCAAATGTGATCTAGCAGCAGGTCAGTCTGATAACTCATAATTTCAAAGTAGTGATGAGGGCAAATAATATTTTAAGATACCTGCAATAACTGTAACTTCATATAGAAATATCTAATTTCTCTTGGAAATAAAACCACAGGCATTGCTAACACTACTGTGATATGTTATTAAATTAGTAGTTAAAGGAAAGCTAAATTTCAGTTGGAAGTTAATGTAATTAAAGATTTAATTTTTTTCTCATCTAAATTCATGTATTACCTGAATCAATGTCAAGTTAGCAACCCCTGCATTATAGCACCAAGTCTTTTTTCTTTCTACTTCACTTTCTACTTCTTAGATGTATACCACTGTGGATGGCATAGGGACTCATTCAATGGATTTTGAAGAATAAGGACACCAGTGCACAAATATAAGTAATGGTAATAATTATTGTATGTTTACTATGTGCCATGCAGTATTTTAGGTTTCTTAATATTTTGACTCAGTCCTTACACAACACTTTAATGTAGGTAACTTATTATCCCCATTTCATAGATGAAGAAACAAAGACAAGACCATGTGTCTCTAAAACTCTCACTCTTTTAAAAAATATATATTTTACTGATTTTTTTACAGAGAGGAAAGGAGAGGGACAGAAAGTCAGAAGCTGATGAGAGAGAAACATGGACCAGCTGCCTCCTGCACACACCCCAATGGGGATGTGCCCACAATCAAGGTAAATGCCCTTGACTGGAATTAAACCTGGGACCTTTCAGTCCTGAGGCCAACACTCTATCCACTGAGCCAAACCAGTTCTGGCCAGAACTCTTACTCTTGACCATGATTCCATGAAACTAAAGAGTTTTAGAGATGTAAGATATAGTACATATTGTTTCTAAATCAAGAAAGAGCAACTTCTGATGCACTGGAATTAATAATTATCAATATTGAATACATTTGCTGAAAATAACCTAGATATCAATTTTTCTTTTTCATTTGTACAGTGTCTTTTTGTCCTCCACCCACTGCTCACTGTGAGGTTGAGGTCTGAGACTATCAAAATAAACCAAGTCCTAGACAGTTTGGCTCAGTGGATAGAGCAATGGCCTGTGGACTGAGGGTTCCGAGTTTGATTCTGGTCAAGCGCACATGCCCAGGTTGTGGGCTCGATCCCAGTTGGGGGCATGCAGGAGGCAGGCGATCAATGATTCCCATCATTGATGTTTCGCTCCCTCTCCCTTCCTGTCTGAAATCAATAAAAAGATACTAAAAAATAATAATCCAACATCCCAGCTGGTGTGACTCAGTTGTTGATCATCAACCCAGGAACTAGGAGGTCACAATTCCTGGTCAATGTACATGCCTGGGTTTTAGGCTCAATGTTTCTCTCTCATCAATATTTATGTCTCTCTATCTCTGTCCCTTTCTTTCTATCAATCAATTAAAAAACATTTTTAGCCAAAACTGATTTGGCTCAGTGGATAGAGCATCGGCCTGCGGACTGAAAGGTCCCGGGTTCGATTCCGGTCAAGGGCATGTGCATTGGTTGCAGGCACATTCCCAGTGGGGGTGTCCAGGAGGCAGCTGATCGATGTTTCTCTCTCATTGATGTTTCTAATTCTCTCTTCCTCTCTGTAAAAAATCAATAAAATATATATTTTTTAAAAAACATTTTTAAAAAGCCAACAAATGCTATATCCGAAAATAATATCTTTAAGTCTTGCTTTGAGCAAACTAGAGTTATATTTGCTATGTGTTCTGTGAAAAATCTAATCAATTTAAAAAAGAATGGCTTCCAAAGTAAAAATAGCAATAACCTTCCTAATAAATGTTTGTGTGAAGGAATAATCTTAACAGTTCTATTTGAAATGTAAAATTAAAAGTTTATACATTTTTGTTTCCTTTGTTTAAAAGAAAAAAATATCATGCCTATGGAATATTCACTGTGTATTATGTTTTGTTTTGTGTGTTTTTTTTTGTAAAATAAGCCACTGATTTATGTGTGTGTTTATCTAGACTTAACTAGATATAATAAGCATGGTAGTTAGAACTCCTGGGACCAGAAGAAACTTGACACTAATAACCCGAGGAAGGAAAAACCACCTGAGACAAATTGAAAATGCCTAAACCTGAATTTTGGGAGGCTTACATCTGGAGACAACTATTATGTCCATTTTTCAAAGTGTGGGACAAGTTGTTTTATGTTTAATTTTAAACAAAATCAGAAAATTGAAATTGACTGAGCATCCTATCCGCTGACAATCATAAACAGCAATGTTAGCTAACCTCTTACACCTGTGTAATTGAATCTCAAAGAGATTAAGTAGCTCTCTCACCATCTCACAGCTTATAAAGGGAAGAACTGAGACGTGAAGCAAGTTACAGGGGACTCCAATACCCATGTGTTTTCCGGAACAACAAAGATAGCCAAATTGGCATCTTGGAAGCCCCAGAGTTTCAAGAAGGTGCCCCAAGGGAAATGGCCAGGTTGTGATGTGGTGGGCTCTGCATCCCCGTTCAGTCAGAGCTGTTCTGCTTTATAATTTGCTTGAGGATAATGGTTCTACTTGTATATGTATTACACTCTGCTGCCTTCCCAGGTCCGATACTGAGAAATAAGGAGCTGAAACGGCACTAAAAATGGAATCGGTCTCTGTACACCTCATGCACCCATACTTTCAAATTTGCATTAAAGAACAAGCCTAGCCCCAGCTGGCGCGCTCAGTTACAGGTTTTCCAGTCACTGAAGGGGCAGCTGTGGGAGGCAACCAATGGGTGTGTCTTTTACACCAGTGTTTCTCTTTCCCCCCTCTCTTCCACTCTCTCTAAAAATCAATGGGAAAATATCCTCCAAAAAAATAAAGGAAAGAAAAATGTCCGCACTCTGCAGGTGAGGATTAAAATAAACATATGCTGAGAGTAATGAAAATTACTGTTTCATAGCAATGAAAAAGAAATTAAAAAATCAGTCTCTTCATATCTTATGCAGGGCCTGCTCAGAAAAAAATTTAGTCTTGATGTTATTAACTCTTGTCTTTGTGAACTTATTGTTTCCAAAATAAATGTTTCCTACATTTTCTGAGGAAATAAGAGCATCACTATGTCATAAATCATGTCAATGTAACTCAGTCTTATACCACTTCCATAATACTAGATTTCCATTTCAAGTTTATAAATCCATCTTCATTTCACCTTAATAATTGCTACTAAGTACTACTGTTAATCAGAACAAATTAAGAGATGCAGGCCTTCCTTTTTAGCTAGTTGTTTTTAAAATATTCCTATTTTCATGATATGATTTTCGTTTGGAGGATATATTTAGCAATTACTGTTTAGAAATGGATTTTTACATGGAAACACATTGTATAGCTGGAGGAAACTCAGAGAGCATCTAATTTAAGCCTCTTTTTTATACCTGAGGAGACTGAACTCCACCGTTTCAAGTCATTTGCCAAGATGACACAGGAGGTTAAGATATCCTGGGAGAGGATCTGTAGGGATGAATGTTTATGGAAGAATTGTCTTTCAACTTACAAATGCTTGTTCTTTGGGATGTCTCAGTACTTTGTACAAAAATACTCTCATCCACCTTACTCTACTCAACGATTTTATTTCTGCTTGCACACTCATCAGTGGCACCAGTTCCTGGGAAACTTGGCTATTATTCCCTGGTTGAACAATTTTTTTTAATTCATATTCATGGCTTCCTCTCCCTAAACTTTAATCTGTAGGAAGATTTTCCCCTGGACCCGAAATGATTTGAAATTTGCAGTGAATCCATTAAAAGGCATTGCCATTCCATATCCCCTGCAATTAGCACTCTAACAATTTTTGGCATAGAAGTTTCTAACAATTCAATACTATGTGACTAGTTTGAGAAAGTCACCACCGTCATCGTTGAGCTGAATGAGAGGTGGCCCGAAGAGACTACAGAATGATTTAACAGCTGGGTTTTTTTTGGGGGGGTGCTTTGTTTGTTTGTTTTTAATATATATATTTTATTGATTTTTTACAGAGAGGAAGGGAGAGGGATGGAGAGCTAGAAACGTCGATGAGAGAGAAACATCGACCAGCTGCCTCCTGCACACCCCTTACCGGGGATGTGCCCTCAACCAAGATACATGCCCCTGACCGGAATCGAACCCGGAACCCTTCAGTCTGCAGACCGATGCTCTATCCACTGAGCCAAACCGGTTTTGGCTAAC